GTGGAAAGGGGGGAGCCATGGAGAGGTCTGGGGAAGAGTATTCCAAACGGAAGCAGCTGCCAGTTGAAAAGCTCTCAGTGGGAACTCACCTGGCATCTGAGGAACAGAAAATGGATCAGTGTGGCCTGAACCGAGAGCTGGGGAGTGTAGGCCAAGCCCAGAGGGGCGGCAGGTGGGGCAAGATGTGGCCCCATCTCTCCAGCCTTCAGTCAGAGGCTAAAAAAACGCTCTCTGATTTTAAAACAGCCTCTGCTACTCACATGGGACAGCCTCCTTCAAGGGGAACTCGGCAAAGTTCAGAATTTAAAATGCACTTTTTTTTTGACCCAGTAGGAATTTCTTCTATAGATAGACTTGTGGAGGGAGTGAAGATACTAGTTTGCAGAGAGTTACTGGAGGAGCAAAAGTCTGGAGATAACCTAAATACCCCTCCATAGGGAACTGGCCACATAATTACAGAGCATTGCTCAACAGAATATCCTGCGGCAGCAGGGGGACGGGGGGAAATCTATGTATCTCTCTGTACACAAAAGTTACATAAAGGTATGAGATAACCTTCTGAATGTATTGAGTAAAAACAAGGGATAGAATCAAGTTGAAATATGATACTATTGGTGCAAAAATAAAAGCAAATATATAATTCTATGTGAGGAGCTCTTGGATGGATTGCACAAAAGCTAGAGTGACTCAGAGCAGGGCCAAATCCAGGCTCTGTCATTTTTGCTGTGTGAAAATAGCCAACACAATAGTGAAGGAGCAAAACAAAGTCGGTGCACTATTACCCGACTTCGAGACTTACTATAAAATGGCAGTGATCAAGACAGTGCGGTGTTGACAAAAGAATAGACAAATAGATCATGGGACAGAACAGAGAGCCCAGAAATAGACCCATATGTATACAGTCAACTGATCTTTGACAAAGAAGCAAAGGCTGTACAATGGAGAAAAGACAGTCTTTTCAACAAATGGTGCTGGAACAACTGGACATCCACATGCAAAAAAAAAGTCTTGACACAGACTTCACAGCTTTCACAAAAATTAACTCAAAATGGATCATAGACCTAAATGTAAAACACAAAACTATAAACTCTCAGAAGATAACATAGGGGAAAATCTAGATTTTCTTGGGCACAGAGATGACTTTTTAAGATATAACATCAAAGGCATGATTCATGAAAGAAAGAACTGATAAACTAGACTTCCTTAAAACTACAAACTTCCACTCTGTGAGAGATGATAAGAGAAATGAGAAGACAAGCCACAGACTTGGAGACAATATTTGCAAAAGATATATCTCATAAAGGACTGTTATCCAAACATACACAAAGAATGGTGAAAATGTGACAATACAAAAAGAAATAACCCAATTAAAAAAGAGGCAAAAGACCCGAGAACAGACGCCTCATGATAGGAAACGTACAGATGGCAAATAAACATATGAGAAGATGCCCAGCATAACTTGTCATTAGGAAATTGCAAATTAAAGCAACAGTGAGGTGTGAGGTGTGATTACAATGGCCCAAATCGAAAACACTGACAATAACAAATGCTGATGAAGATATGGAGCAACAGGAACACTCATTGCTGGTGGGAATGCAGAACGGCACAGTTACTTTGGAAGACAGTTTGGCAGTTTCTTACAAAACTAAACAGACGCCTACTAGCGATCATGCTCCTTTGTATTCACCCAAACGAGTTGAAAACTTATGTCCCCACGAAAACCTGCACGTAGAGGTTTACAGCAGCTTTATGCGTGACTGCCCAAACGTGGAAACAATCAAGGTGTCCTCCAGTAGACGAGTGGATAAGACAGTCCATCCAGACAGTCGGATATTACTCAGCACTAAAAATAAATGTGCTATCAAGCCATGAAAAGACATGGAAAAAACATAGATACATATTACTGATGGAGATAAGCTAATCTGAAAAGGCTACATACTGTATGATTCCAAATATATCCTATCAAAAACTATGGAGGCAGTAAAAGGATCAGTGGTTGCCAGGGGTTAAGGGAGTATGAGCGACAAACAGGTAGAGCGCAGGGGATTTTTAGGGCAGTAGAACTATTCTGTATGACACCATAATGGTAGATATATAACTCTATACGTTGTCAAAAGGCCATAGAGTTTGTACAACTCCAAGAGTGAACCTAATGTAAACTCATGTAGTTTATACATACATATATACACGTACACCGTACACAGCATGCACGTATACACACACACACGTACGCACACACACATCACTCTGGACTCAGAAGGATGGGTGTTCTAATTCTGGTTCTGTACTCACTAGGTTCATGACCCTAGACAGGCCCCTGCGCTTCACTGAGCCTCAGTTTCCTCATCTGTAAAACAGAGATAAGATCTCTCAAGGTCAACAGAAACACGTCAGTGCTGGCTGCGAGTCTGCTGATTTTGTGTTTACTACTGCTATTCTGGCTGCGGTTCCCTTTGGTGAGTGAGCCCAGGCTGGGGCAGGGTGGGGCTGGGGACGCTGTTTTCAAGGAAGAGGTAGGGGACGGGGAAGGCCGGTCTGAACTGAGAAGCAGAACATGCTCATCTTGCAAAGTTGCTGCAAAAGAATTCACGTGGATGTGTGCGTGTGGTGGGAGGTGTCGGCCCACCCTGGACCTCCTAGGGGAGGAAGGCAGTTGCAGGGTGGAGGGTGGGGAATGAATACCGAGCTGGGGAAAACAGATCCTTTCCTGGAGAGCAGGGCCCATCACTATCGCTGGGCAATCAAGAGGCTGTAAAACTTTAATCACCTTTTCAGGTCACAGAGCTCTGGGCTGGGGAGCTGGGACCTGTAGGGCGAAGCAGGCTCCCTTCCTGGGGAGGCCTGGTGGCTTCAGGAGGCTTTGGCTGGGCAACAGGATCTCTGTGGCAGTGACTTGGATTTCACGCCTGAGGAGGGGAGGGGGGGCACTGATGGACCTGACTGTGCCTTTAGGAAAAAGCCAGCGGAGTCTGACTCAGACTCCATTCCAGACTCCACCTGGTAAGACCTTGGGTGGGTCATTCAACCTTTCTGAACCTCATTTTCCAAATCTGTAAAATGGGGATAGTTCCTACCTCATAGGGTTTGTTGTGAGGATTAAACAGCTTCCCTTTGCATGTAGAGTAAAATCCAAAATGTTAACCATGGCCTACTGTGCCCAGTGATTTGGTCCCAATACCACCATGGCCTTGTTCCCTATGACTTGGCCTCTCATATGCTTTTTCAAGCACACCAAGCTCAGCCCACTGCAGGGCCTCTGCGCTTTCAGTCCCACTGCCTAGAATCCTTTCCTGCCAGCTCTTGCTGCAGCAGTTAGAGCTGTTGGCTGAAATGTCCCGCTTTGGGAGGCCTTCCCTGGCCACCCTGTCTAAAGCAGCCACCTCCAGGCACTCGCCATTCCATCACCCTACTGCCTTTAGCACTTACAACTGAATGAAAATAACTTGATCTCATGTTTGTTTCCTTGCTTGCTCCTGTCTCCGCAACTCGACTGAGAGCATCAGGAGGGCAGCGATCTTGTCTGTCACCCAAAACACACTTTCACATGCTCACATGCACAACCCCCACACTCAGAGACACACACACTCAGGAGGGTCTTGATGCCCCTGCTCAGCCTGTGTGGAAACCAACTAGGCTGTTGGTGCAGGCTTTGCCCAGAGAGCAGGGGCCCACTTCCGGTCCCACAAGGTGCTGGGGAGCGGGGTCAGGGGGAGCAGACTTTGCTGGCAGGAAACCTGGACCCCCGAATGTGCTGATGGAGACAGCTGTGGAGGACAGCCCGGCACTGTATCACAGCGTGTGGAAGTCTCCTATCTCCCTTCTGGGGCTTCAGCAGGAGCAAGCGGTGGGCCTCGGAGCCACAGAGAGAAAGAGCAGGGGCTGTGTTGCCGGTGGGTGAGGATATGTGTGGCTGTGTGTGGGACGTGTGTTAAGGACACGTGTGAGGGCGTGCAGGACTCTGAGCGTGATTCTAGGTGTGTGCATATGAGTGTGAGATTGTGACTGTACGTGAAGGTTGTGTGTGGCCTAGTAGGGGTGAGTGTTTTGATGGTATGAGTGAGGGTATGAATGTGTGTTAGCATGTGTGAGCATGGTAGGGTGTGTTTGAGTACATGCATGCCTGAATGTGTGTCCATGTGTCACTGTGAATGTGCGTGTGCGTGAGCATGAACCTGTGTGTACACATAGAGGAAAGGACAGTAGAGTCATCAAGAAAATGCCACCAAACCCAACAAGCAGATTCAAATTCCTCAAATCCCACCACTCAGAGAAATTCTATTGTGGTGAACAGGGAACTCAGAGGGAAGACTGTCGGGTTCAAACCCTGTATTTGTCCCTTACTGGAGAGTGACTTGGGGCAGGTCACTGCACCTCTCTGAGCCTCAGTTGCCCCATCTGTACCATGGTGATGTAACAGCACCTAGCTCAAAAGTTTGCTGTAGGGATGAAAGGAGATAAGGTGGGTGGTGGATCTGTTGGCTCAGGTCCGGTGGAGAGGAGGCTCGGCCAAATTGTCATCTGTAGTCATCTGTTTATCTGGGGAAGGGCTGGACTCTGGAACTCACATAGTCTTCCTCCCTACCTCCATCCCCACACCACGCTGAGTCCTGGAGGGAACTCCAGGGCAGGGGGCGGGGGGCAGTTTCATGGGACAAGAATTTCTCCCCAGCTGTGCACCTTAGTTCTGGGGCTCAACAATAGGATTGCCATCCAAGTGTCTTCCTGGGGCTTTGCAGACCGGGACCCTGGGCATGCATGGCGACCATGATGTGGTCCCAAGGTAGTGTATGTGTGCGCTGTGATGGGTCTCCCCGAGGTTGGGGTTAACGCTCTACAACACGGAAACATACTCATCTCACACTGCTCCTGTGCAGAACGGGAACCTGGTTGCGCGGGGTGTGGCCACCGACCGACCACGCCCCATTCCCCGCCCACACTTGAATCCGTCGGGAGCGTCACCGGAAGTCACGCCAGACGGAGCGTTTTCGGGGAGACACTCACTGGGGCGATCCGCGGCGAGTCCTAATAGACGGTGGCAGAGGTAGCGGGAGAGCCAGGCAGGGACCCAGGATAAATGCTAAACCCACGCTCAGACGCACAGAACTGGATGGCAGTTGGAGGGAACGAGATCGGACCCCAGAGCTCTAACTGTCCTCGTGGCGTTGGCTGGATCTTCAAAAGCTCTTAGCAGAAAAGGGAGGCAGCGTCTAAGCAAAAGGTTTTGGGATTCTGAGTTCCTACTAATCCATGTCCTGTGAAAGTGTGACTAAGTTCACTAATCTGTAAAGTGGGAGGACCAATCCCCGCCTTGTGGGTGGGGAAGCTGTGAAGGGGAACGAGAAGGTTGCGTGCTCTCAGCCAAGCTGCAGGGACCACCCCGGCCCGGGAGCATCTTTCTGCACCGTAGACCGTTTTCTGGGATGGAGTCCTCGTTATTTTCTACACTTGGGAATTTAGAACGGACCCTTGGCCACTGGTTCCACACCCCCTCGGCTGGGGGCGTACCCGGAAGTGCTCCTACGGAAGCCGGCAGGGGCGCGCGGCTCTTCACCATGGGGACCGCGGCGGCCCCGCGGCGCTTCTGCCGCTGTGCCTGTTTCTGCTCCGAGAACTTGTACGTGGCGCGCTACGGGCTGCACGTGCGCTTCCGGAGCGAGCAGCAGCTGCGCCAGGACTACGGCCCGGTGAGAGGCCTCTATTAGCTCTGCGGAGAAATGGGCGGCGAAGGGTGGTGGAGGAGGAACTGTTGTCTCCCAGGTCATTTGCTTTGCCTTTGGCGCTCTCAGATCTGACAAGAATGACAACCTCTAGGTGCTTTCACCTTTAATGGGGATAACAGCATCTCTTTAGTGAGGCTGTCGTGAGGAACGAATGAATGAACAGGCAAATAGCGCTGAGGACACGGCCGGGCTCCAAGGACTACTTCTGTCAGCGTTATCACCAAGGGCAGCTGGGAACCTTGCTCTGTGCTTGGCGTGTTTACCGTATTTCACCCTTACCATGATCCCGTGACGTCGGGGCCCTTGTCTCCATTTCAGGGAGGGGAAACAGGCTCAGAGACGTTAAGTGACTTGCTCAAGGTCACACAGTCGCGCTCACTGGCCTTTCTGCCCCCAGATCCTGCGCAGCCGAGGCTGTGTTAGCCCCAAGGACTTCCAGCAGCTGTTGGGAGAGGTAACACTCCCCACCCTCGACCCTTCACACCCAGCCTTGCCCTTCCTCTTTAGGTTTGTGTCAGCAGTTTGAGGGGTCTCCCAGCTTCAGGCCTGCCTGTGCTAGATCCCCGAAGTGTTCCTTAGACGTCCCCTTTTCTCCCTCCTGTCCCCACTCACCACAGCACCTGGGTCCTGGCACCAGAAAAAGAGAAAGCAGGAAAGGCCAAGTTGTCTGCCTCGTGCTCTTTTGAGATGAGAAACTTGGGCTCGGAGAGAGGAGTCATTTGCCCAAGGTTTCACAGCAGCTGGAGCTGAGATCCCACCCAGGGCCGCCTGCCTGCAGGCTATTCCTCCTTCCCCCCACCTCATTTCTGTCACTGCTGCTGGCTCCCACCCCCTCCCTCACCTGGGCGTTAGTGGTGGGAAGCTGCCCAGGACAGCCCCCTGCAGCTTCTGTAACACAAGGCTTGACTGGGACTCAGTTCCCCTCCCTGGGTGGGCCTGGCTGGCTGTGGTGCATCCAGGGCCTCTCAGCCCAGCCAGGCTCAGGCTGGGGCAGCCCTGAGTGGAATGGACCCCTTCTAGAAGGAATCCTCTTCAGTTAACAGCTTAGCACCTGCCATTGACCCTGGTAGAGTCAGGAGCACAGGGAGACTTGGCTCCCAGCTCTGACCCTGCCCTAGGCTTCCTGACCCTCAGTTTCCTCAACTGTACAGTGACCTCTGGGAGGGTGGGAGGCCCTGTCCTGGTAATCAGGCCCTGTGTCACCGCAGCTTGAGCAGGAGGTGGAGCGGCGGCGGCGGCTGGGGCAGGAGTCAGCTGCCAGGAAAGCCCTCATCGCGAGCTCCTACCGTCCGGTGCGGCCCGACGTCTACAACTCGCTGAAGGTACTGGGCAGGGGGCAGGTGACTGGAAGGAGGCAAAGGCATGCAGGCCTAGGGGCTGTCGGCCCCACAGCTGGTGTGTTCTGCCCCCAGGATGTGGCTTTGGCCCCCGAGTTTCTGGCCGCAGCTGAATACAGTGCATCACCAGGCGCAGACCTTGAGGGCCTTCTCCAGTGGCTGGAGACAGTGTCAGGTGAGGTCTTGGCCTGTCACCTGGCAGGACCAGGGGGTGGGAGGCTGGGGTTCCTCTACCCACCATATCTGCCTTCAAAAATCAAACCAGGAGCTAGAAGGGCCGGTGGGATGGACTTGCCAGGAACAGAGCATCTGTATTCATTCACTCACTCCCTCCCTCCCTCATCTGTAGGCATTCATTCATTCACTCACTCCCTTATCCGTATTCATTCATTCATTCATTCACTCACTCATCCACCCACCCACACACCTAACAGTGACTCAGTGGCTTGGATCAGACATGAGCCAGCTGGCACACTCAAATGGGGGTGACTGAAGAGGTTAAGGAAGGGGTAGTTGAGACAAATGTGGGGTAGGGACCAGCAACGGATGGTGAAGGGCCCACCCCAGGGCTAGCAATAGGGGTGGGGGTGGGGAGCAGTTCCTATGCTGAGATGTGAAGGGGTGGACAAGAATGAGGTTTCTCGAACCTGCTGGAACCTGGAGCTTTGGGAGAGGGGCTGCCAGTCAGCTGCTGTGGCCAGATTCAGAAACACCACATCCTTCCTCCTGTCGGGGCCTCCCACCGGCTAACCCCCCCAGGGCAGGGGGGCCCCTGCGGTTCCTTACAGATCTGCCTCAGTGTCCTCAACTGTGACAGGGGGCAGTCATAACACCCACCTCATAAGGTGTCGTGATGGTAAGTGAGGTACATGGGGCAAAAAAGCTCAGTGCACAGTAAGTGTTTAGAAAGTGTCTTCTAGTCTTATGATGACTGTTAGCCTAGGGCTGGGGGATACTGCGGGGAGACAGATGGCTAAGCCGCCCCCCTTGTGGAGTCTGTGTGCTGTTGGGGGGCCCAGGGTGGAATGTGGGCTGAAACTCCTGTCCCAGCCTCAGGGGGCCCCTCCTCACTGCAGGTGAGACTGGGTGGAGGCTGTTTGGGTGGGGCTGGGCTGTGAGTTGGCCCAAAGTTTGGGGGACACTAGCCCTGGGCGTTGGTACATCTGCCGAGAAATGTTTGTTTTGTCACTCTGAGACAGGCCTCTCCCCACCAGGGCCCAGCAAGAAAGAGCAGCCTCTTGGCCTTCCTGTTTGGGGAACAGAGATGCTTGAGTTGGGGTGCAGACTTTGGTGGCTCATCAGGGGAGGGGCTGCAGAAGGAACCTGTGGCTGGCTCCGTGGGGAGGCTAGACCTCAGGGCAGGGTGAGAGGTTCCAGGGATGAGTGAGGGGCCTGAGGACAGGGCTCCCCTGCTGTTACGTTATGTCATTCAATGATCACAATGGCCTGAGAGGTGAGTACCCCTGTCATCCCCATCGTACGACGGAGAGACTGAAACCCACACCGGAACTCCTGGCTGATCGACTTTCCCTCCCCGTCCCCGCAGAGGAGAAGCGTATTTACCGGCTGCCGGTGTTCACGGCGTGGTTCTGCCAGGCCCTGCTGGAGGAGCTGGAGCACTTCGAGCAGTCGGACATGCCCAAGGGAAGACCCAACACCATGAACAATTACGGGGTGGGTGAGGCGCCGCCTGGTGGGTAGAGGAGGTGGGGAGATCTGGCGTCTGGGGAGAAGTGTCCCTGGCGCTGCAGACGAGCTGGATGGCCCTGTCAGCCTTGGTCTCCCCGTCTGTAAAATGAGATCACAGCAGGAGTATTAGGAAGTTAAGCAAGTTGATGTTTGCAAAGCACTTAGCACTGTCCTTAGTAAGGGACTTCCCCAGGGACCCCAGTTTCCCTGCTGACCCCAGGGACTCCCTCAGGTGCTGCTCCATGAGCTGGGCCTGGATGAACCACTGGTGACACCGCTGAGGGAGCGCTTCCTGCAGCCGCTGATGGCCCTGCTGTACCCGGACTGTGGCGGGGGCTGGCTGGACAGCCACCGTGCCTTTGTGGTCAAATACGCGCCAGGCCAGGACCGCGAGCTGGGCTGCCACTACGATAACGCCGAGCTCACCCTCAACGTGGCCCTGGGCAAGGCCTTCACGGGGGGCACCCTATACTTCGGAGACCTCTTCCAGGTTAGTGTATGTGACCCCATGGGGCAAGGCTGGGGCTCCCAGGAGCACCCAGGCCTGAGCCCCGCCGTCTGCAGGCACCGTCAACCCTGGCCAAGCCCCTGGAGGTGGAGCACGTGGTGGCCCAGGGCATCCTGCACCGAGGGGGCCAGCTGCACGGGGCCCGGCCCCTGGGCGCTGGTGAGCGCTGGAACCTGGTCGTCTGGCTCCGGGCCTCTGCTGTGCGCAACCACCTCTGCCCCATGTGCTGCCGCAAGCCCGACCTGGTGGACGACGAGGGCTTCGGAGACGGCTTCACCCGCGAGGAGCCCCCCACCGTGGATGTGTGTGCGCTGACTTGAGCCTGGCCGGGGCCAGTGTGGGGGGGTGACAGAAATAAACACCCTGCAGCCCTCAGCACTTCTTGGTTCAAAAGGACACACAGGCTTCTGGGTCATTCTTTCAGCAGACGGGCTGGCTCTGGCTTGTTAGAACCAGAGCCTGAGATGGGGATTCCTGTGCAGGTGGTTTAAGCAGGGAGTACTCTCAGGAGAAGCGGAAGCAGGACAGGGCAGGAAGGAGCTGGGCCAAGATGTCATTTCCAATGGCATCCAGTTCCAGCCTGATCCCATAGGGCTCTCTGCAGTGTGAATCGTACCAGTTTGCCCCCAACATCAGTTATTGCCTATAGAATGTTTCCAGGTAGGGAGGGGGTGAGTAACTTCCATCTCCAGGGCATGGTGGGTCCCAGTGACCAAGGGAATCGTTCAGAGAAGAGTCAAGGTGTGAGTTGTCAGCAGCATGGCTGTGGGTGAGTGCAGCTGTCTACAAAGAGAATTTGGGTTGTACATCAACAGCATCTTCCAGACAGTGCTGAGTTTTGGTTTGCTGAGTGTTGGTTTACTGCAGAGGGGTTAAAAGCAGGAACTCTGGAACCAGACTGCCTGGGATCGAATTCTGATTTGGCCACCTCCAGCTGTGACTGTGGGTAAATCTCTGTGTCTTGCTTTCCTCATCTGGGAAGTATCTATGTCCTACAGCCATTGTGAGAATCAAATGACTTACTGTTTATAAAGTGATTTATAACAGTCTTCTGTGTTTGTTGCTGTCATTACTACTGATGAGTTTGCAACTTGGTGGCCCCAAGATTGGATGAGGTGTGCAGCCCTGTTGTGTTTCAGAGCATTTTCCATGTTGCAATCTTGAGTTCTGGCTTCCCCGGGAAAGTGGGGAGATCGCAAACACCAGGTCCCAATCCACATTGCAGAAACCAGCGGGAGCAGAGTCTCAGCTGCCCCTACTCTAGACAGGCCCATGAGGCACTTTCTCACAGGGGGTCCGTCCCTCATTCGTTGCCATGATCTCTCTGGTCCTTAGGGACGTTTTAGTTTGCGACCTCTGTATTACTGGATGGGGACGCTGGAAAGACTAAGGCTCCGGAGCTCACGTCCTGATGGAGTGGAAATGTCTGCAGACAATCCAGAGAGGAAAGCTGTGCGCTACAGTCGCCTTCTTTCCTAGGGCCTCAGGGAGGCTGGGGGTGCTGCAGGAGCGCCGAGAAAGGGCAGAGGCCATAGCTGTGGGAGAGGGCCCGCGAGCTCGGGGACTGGCGCCAGGCTGGAGAGCAGGTCTCTTGGCCGGAGCTGCGGGGGCAGGCACGGCCTCGCACTGGCCTGGAGGCAGAAACCTGGATCCCCAGCTCGCTCAGGAGGTGGGCGCGCCACACCCCGTTTCTTGGGCTGCCCCAGAGACGGAACCTGGGGCCGCAGAACTAAAGGCAGCAGCTCCTCGCTTCGCAGCCGGACGGCCTCCCGGAGCACCGCCGCGGGCCGGAAATCACCCAGCTGCCGCTTCCTCACGCGAAGGCGTGGTGCGGGGCTGGCGGTCCGGCCGGATGGGCGGTTGAGGAGGGAACGGAGCGGCCCCGGGGACCTTCTTTAAAGCGGCTAGGCCGCAGAGGGTGCGGGGGAGGAGGGTAGGAGCGCACGGGAAGGGAGGGTGAACGCACCTGGCAGCTGAGGATTTCGGCCCGTCCTAGGGCCGCCTGGGCCGCGCGCGCAGGCGTGGAGCGTCCGGGCGGGGCGGGCCTTTAAAGGGGCCGCAGCGGAGGGTCTGGGTGTCCGCGAAGAACCTAGGGTACCGGGATCTGGGGGGTGGGTGAAGATTGTGCTGTTGCACGGGCCCCTTCATATTCCTGCCCCGGGTGGTGACGGGTACCCAGAGGACCAGCCCCACAGTAGAGCCTCCCTTGGAACCCAGTCTGCGGGATCCCGAGTTTAAGCGCGTCTTCCTGTCTCCAGCTCGCGGCGCTATGGCTCACGTCGGCTCTCGGAAGCGCTCGAGGAGTCGCAGCCGGTCCCGGGGGCGAGGGTCGGAAAAGAAAAGGAAGAAGAGCAGTAAGGACGCCTCGAGGAGCTGCTCAGCTTCTAGATCCCAGAGCCGCAAGGCCAGCACCACTTCCTCTGGGGCGGAGGGTGAGGACCAGTGGGAATGGGAAGGGGCGAGGAAACTTAATGGAAAGGAAGTTGCGGGCAGCTGGGCGGCCTTCTACAGTCTGGCTGTGGGGAAGTCGTAGTGAGCAATATTTAGACGGACACGGAGTGTAGATCCTGGATATCTGGATTGAAAGACGCTCAGAATCTAGGGGCTGGGCTGACCCATTGAGTACAGATCGAAGGGAGCACTTAATCATCTTTTGGTGCAGCTGAGCCTGAGATGTGGGGGCTGGCCGCTCTGCTCCTGGGCAGACAGCGACTGCGGAGCCGGGAAGTGCCTCTCCATAGCCCGGAAAGCCCTGCCGGGAGGGTCTCACCCCTCCGTAGTCAGCCTGAGCCTGCTACAGGTCGGAGCAAGGGGACGAAGGTTTACATCTTCCCCTCCTGGCCTTCCAGCCTCACCTTCTCCCTGCATCACAGAGAGAAGCAAGCACAAGGCCCGGAGGAGACCACGATCCAGCTCCTCCTCCTCTTCTTCCAGTTCTTCTAGCTCCTCTTCCTCCTCGTCCTCCTCTTCTTCCTCCAGCGATGGCCGGAAGAAGCGGGGGAAGCACAAGGACAAGAAGAGGAAGAAGAAGAAGAAAAGGAAGAAGAAACTGAAGAAGAAAAGCAAAGAGAAGGCCAAGGTGCAGCAGGCTGAGGCTCTGCCGGGACCTTCGCTGGACCAGTGGCACAGATCAGCCGAGGAGGAAGAGGATGGCCCAGGTACTGTGCTGCCCAGTGTGCAGAGGGGAGGATCCCCTCCCCGAGGCTCCACCACCACTTCCCTGCTATCTCCCCTTCCAGTCCTGACCGATGAGCAGAAGTCCCGCATCCAGGCCATGAAGCCCATGACCAAGGAGGAGTGGGATGCCCGGCAGAGCATCATCCGCAAGGTGGTGGACCCGGAGACAGGACGCACCAGGTGGGGTGCACGTGGTGGGCTTCTCTGGCCATTCCTCCCCATTGCCCAGAGCAAGTGATGGCACAGGCTGGAAGGGCCTTGAGGAGGGTCTTCAAAGAGCCACTGTTGGCTGGTCTGATGGCAGAGCCCACGCAGCTGCCTTCATCCCTGTCCCGAGAATGGGGAGCGGGAAGGGTCGGAGTGGCTGGTGGGGGCCTGAAGCCTGGCACCCCTCTGCCGGTGCTTCTGGTTCTGTTGTTTTGGCCTCTCAGTTAAAGGCTCGCCTGCTTCCCACCTCCTCTTCCAGGCTCATTAAGGGAGATGGCGAGGTGTTAGAGGAAATTGTAACCAAGGAACGACACAGAGAGATCAACAAGGTGGGTGTCGCCCCCTTGCCCGTGCCCACCCCCAGCTCTGTTTCTGATGCGTCCCCTCCCTGTGTGCTTTCTCCCCCAGCAAGCCACCCGAGGAGATGGTCTGGCCTTCCAGATGCGAGCAGGGCTGCTGCCCTGAGGGCCCCGCTGGCCAAAGCCTGCGGACAGCACTGGTGGCACAGCCTGGAGGCTGGCCTCAGGGTGAGCAGCAGGGAGCCCGATGGGCGCTGTGTGCCCTTCTCCCACAGCCCAGCCTCCTCTCAGATGTGGGGGTCACTGGCTTAGTCAGCTTCCCTGTCTCCTGAAAGAGCGCAACTTCCCAGCTATTAAACGTTCCCTGGTTGGAGACTTGCTCTGTGCTGTTCCTTTTTGTGCTGAGGGGGAAGGAAGTGTGCAGCTCGACTTCCGGGGCAAAAAACGAGTTCTGGGAGCTTTGGGGGAAAGCTGGGGAGTGCCCCGGTGGTAGTGAGCACTGGCCGCCAGCCACGTTTGCCGTCCTCATCCGTAGATCAGCCTGCTGCGCGACCCCCGACCCCTAGCTGAATCCCAGACCAGAGACTTGGTTCTTAACATGAAGTTCCTCAGGCTCGGAGCTGGACTGCTGCCCTCACTGTGTTTATCCTGCAGACGACAACAGTGGAGAGTCCTGGTGGCCTGGGAGGAATTCGGGCCCAGCTTACGAGCTGTGTCCTCTGCAAAGCACCCACCTACCTCACTGGGTTGGTATGAGGACAAACAGTTCACGCCTGGGAAGGGGCAGCAAGGGGGCCCAGCATAGGTGAGGCCCACATGAGCACATGGGTATTATGGTGAGCGTGGCTGGCATTGTGTGCTGGGGGGACAGCCTCTCCCCACACAGGCCAGGCTGGGCACCCATCCAGCCCCCCGACCCCCACCCAGTGCACTGGTTGCCGGCGCAGGAATGAGACCCAGAAGGAAGCCTTCCTGCTTCTTTAATTGGTGTAACAGACAAGGACACTGTATACGGAGCACACTCAGGCCCGATGGAGCAGGGACAGCAGGGGTGGGCGGGGCGAGTCAGGACACTGCACACACGGCCCAGACAGACGGACAGGAGGGGCCGAGACGTGAAGACTGTGTGACATGGCGGGCAGCTCAGACCGAGCTGGGAAGGGGCGTGGGGTCTCTGCTGAATCCCTCTTTAGAAATCAAAGAGAAGGCAGGTGGTCAGATCTCGGGTGGCGGGCTGAGGCTCGGTCCTGGGCTGTGGGGTGGGAGGGGGGACTAAGGCTTCTACTCTAACAGGCCGGGGGGCGGTGGCAGTCAGCAAGGCCTGCCTCACCCTTTGGTTACGACTGGTCGGGCCTGAGCCCTGCAGCTCAGCACCCAATGCTGTAAACATTTTTGGTATTTTTAAAGGACTCTGTCCTCTCTCTCTTAGTTTCTGAAAAACTGGTGCTTCCTTAAGAGGATAATGTGCCAAAAGGAATCTTCGGGGAGGCAGGAAGCAGACCTGGATACAGAAGAGAGGCGCCAACAGGGAGGGTGGGTGCCCACCTCACGTCTATGGCTGAGGGCCGCCGGAGAGGCCCGGGGACTATTGCTGTTGTCCTTGGCATGGCTGGCGGCTGGGCAGGCAGGCGGGGAGCTCGGAGCCGTGGCGGAGCTGCCCGCTGGGAGAGGCCAAGCCCACTGCCTACACGGCCTCCCGGCCTTTATTGCAGGCGGGCCGGGACTCTTCCAGGTGCTCCTCTGGACGGCTGGTCACCGGGACGGTAGGCGAGGTGGGGTGAGGTGGGACCGACAGGAGGCACTGGCCGCGGGGCCCTCGCCGGGGCTGTGATTGTCGGGCCGAGCGATTCCCGCTGGGGGCAGGGGGTTAGATATTGCACTTCCACTGCAACAGTTACATTAAAATTTGGTCCATAAAATAATCGTCGCTTTATACATAACGCCTGAAACAACAACAAAAAGCTACATCTTAAATATGAATAAACCCTGAAGGTCCCATCTCTCCAGACATTTTTCTCTGCACAAAATAAATAGCTTTCACTCTGTACAGACCCACTTTCGCAGAACATTTACACGACCCTTTGGCTGTACATATCTACACATGGGAAGATGTTAGCATCCGTCTGTGCACCTCCCTGTCCAGCCCACGAGGCCCTGAGGCCATATCCAGGTTGGCAGCAGCTTCTCACAGAAGGAGCCTGGTCACCGGACAGCTGGCAGGGGCCTGGCAGGCTCCCCTGCCTCGGAGAAGGTGGGGGAGCAGCAGAGGGCCCCCCAGGGCCACAGCTGAGACGGCTTTCGGTTCTGGGGAGGGAGGGCTGATGCTCAGACCCAGCGTGTGGGACAGCATGGTCCTTACCAGGTAGGAAATGAAGTCATGGCTGCCTGCCCTCAAGCTAACTAAGCGAGTTGTGTGGCTTTTTAGATTCGGCATCAAAACGGAGTTGGCATTAAAAAAAAAAAACCCTAAGTGTGTGCCCCACTCACCCCAGAGTAGAAATTCAGTGGAATTAACAGGGGTCAGGTGAGGCAGGGAGCCCGTGCCCGCTGCATGGGCAGGGACAGGGCCCTGGGACCCAGAACCAGGCTGGACTCCGTCACAGTGCTGGGTGTTTTCATGTGGAGGGGCTGCGTTTGGTACTGAAAGAGTTAAGAAAAGGAAGCAGCCAAGGATTGCTCATTTAAAAAAACCTCATAGAAATCAGGTCTGCGAAGTAGAAAGGTGTAGAAACGCGGGAGGGCGGGCCCAGGCGTGGAGCTGGCTGACGGGGTGGGCAAGGAGCGGAAAAGACGGCCAGGTCTGTCCAGGCCCCACGGCCCGAGGCCAGGCTTCTCAGGAGCCACCTCTGATGTTCACCGGCCTCAAAGTCTGGGTTGTGCCGAGGGCCGAGATGATACCAGGCCGGCGGCCGGACTGTGCTCCAGCTGGGGCAGGTGAAAGGGGTCCGGGGTCCGGGGCTCCCACGGGCTGGCGGGCCAGGCGGAGCTGCAGAAATTACAATATGGCCTTTCTTCCCTACTGTACAAAGATTCGGCGCCCTGGAGCCTTCTGTGTGGTGGCAGGTCTTGGATCAGCAAACGCTGAAGTTTCATGCATGCCAACGAGTTTGTAGCCATAGGAGATGGTAATGGGTCTCCCCTCTCAAAAATCAGTGCAAAACCAGTGAGGTCGAACAGTTGAGTAACTTGAGTTAACAAGAAGCAGGCTGTCCCCCCGTCAGAGCTGCTACCAAGTGGGAGGGGACCTGGGGGTCAGGGCGAGCTACTGGACGGGACACGCCCGGGCCTGGTGTCAGGATGCTGGGAGGTCAACGCAGGGCAAGTGTCTAGGAGGGCCTTCCGGGCCAGTCCACACTAGGGGTTCCTGGTCCCTCCGTCATCCCGGGCTGGTCGTCCTGCCAGCTTCCACGACAAGCTGGAACGCTGCAGACCCCAGGACATGAGGCGTGGCTGGGAGGACTGTGTGTGGCCCGGC